ATGGACTTTATTACATTTTCCAAACTGGAGTCTGGAAAAATGTAAGAGGATAAATGCCTGCAGCCAACCTGAGAACAGATAAATTCAGAGACTGATGGCATTAAAACAGTTTGTGACTTTTGTCATGTTCTGATCTGGAGCCTTAGATTTGGTCCAGATCTCAGTGCTGCAGGTTTTATCTGAACCTCCGTCTGCATAGAAACTCAGAGATGTCAGTCATGGATTGGCCCCCCTGTTCCTGCACCTATAGCATCATTATTCTTTAGCATTTGATTCAAGCAGAGTTTGATATTCTTCTATTATATCAGTTTACAGAATATGTTTCTATTCTGTTTGACCTTGTTTTTAAAACATTTTTATGTGATTTTGCTTTTGTTTGTTTTACTTTATAGAACTATAAGTTACTTTGGTAAATGCCTGACATTTTTATGAGCAACTTAAAAACATTTATCATATAAATGAATAAAGATACAAAATAAATAGTTGGTTCTAAATAAGGTTCAGACAAAAGAAGTTGACTAAACTGTTATTGAAATGACATCAACATCATGTCTGATAGCAGCTGATGGACAGAAAACTGGTTCCTCCAGCATTGAGAACATTTACCTCAGAGTTTCCAGGTTGCAGTTTGGACTCTTCAGTCCAGCAGAGAGAAACTCCAGACCTGAATCCTGCAGGTCATTGTTACTCAGGTCCAGTTCTGTGAGACTGGAGGACTGGGAGCTGAGAACTGAGGACAGAGCTGCACAGCTTCTCTTTGAGAGGTCACAGCCACTCAGTCTGAGGAGACAGAGAGAAAAATCTGCTGTGAACCGTTTCATCATCTATCATGCAACAAATTAGCCAAACAGATAAAAGCTGCTGTGAAATCCAGTTTCTTCCAACACTAATGACCAAGGTGAAGTTATATCTCACAATAAATGTGTTGAAAAGTGATTAGTGCTGTTATTACCTCTTGGTAGGATTACTGTAATGCCTTGTATGCTGCATTAAATCAATCATCTCTGTGTTGCCAAAATGCAGCACCTGGACTTTTAACAGGTAATAGAAACATAAAAATCTATCTCCAGTTCTGGCTTCCTGTTTGTTTTAGGATTCATTTCTAGATTTTATTGTTTACTTTTAAAGTGATAAAAGTCCCATCATGCCTCTGTGATTTCTTCAACATGCACATTGTACTGAGTCATTTGGTCAGCCAGTCAGAACCAGATAGGTCTAAGATGATCCTGGATCCCAAATGAAACTCAGAGGTGATCACGTTTTTTGCAATTTGTGCCCCTAAACTTTGGACTAATTTACATTTTCATTTACAATGATTGGGACATTAAAATCTTTGCCCAACATCCGTCACCAGCAGCAGCAGGTTGATTATTGAGGTGGAGGTCATGGGGTATTTGTTTCCTCTGTTACACACTTTGAATATCAGGAGCCACTTGTTCAATAGTTATGATGGCTCCTGTCAATCATTCAGTGGGTTTGTAGCAATTTGTCCTGAAGTCAACAGTAAACATCCGTTTCCTGGAGGACAATGTTTCTGGGTCTACCATGTGCTGCTGTCTGGCTGATTTGATGACTGTTTGCTATTAAATGCTGCAGTCATAGAGATTTAGTGGAAACGTTGTCAGTGGGGAAACATGCAGTTCCTGCACCTATAGCATCATTATTCTTTAGCATTTGACTCAAGTAGAGTGTGATATTCTTCTATTATGACAGTTTATAGATTATGTTTCTATTCTGTTTGACCTTGTTTTTAAAACATTTTTATGTGATTTTGCTTTTGTTTGTTTTACTTTATAGAACTATAAGTTACTTTGGTAAATGCCTGACATTTTTATGAGCAACTTAAAAACATTTATCATATAAATGAAATAAAGATACAAAATAAATAGTTGGTTCTAAATAAGGTTCAGACAAAAGAAGTTGACTAAACTGTTATTGAAATGACATCAACATCATGTCTGATAGCAGCTGATGGACAGAAAACTGGTTCCTCCAGCATTGAGAACATTTTACCTCAGAGTTCCAGTTTGCAGTTTGGACTCTTCAGTCCAGCAGAGAGACGCTTCAGTCTTGTATCCTGCAGCTTGTTGTTACTCAGGTCCAGTTCTCTGAGACTGGATGACTGGGAGCTGAGAACTAAGGACAGAGCTGCACAGCTTCTCTTTGAGAGGTTACAGCCACTCAGTCTGAGGAGACAGAGAGAAAAAACTGCTGTGAACCGCTTCATCATTGTTGGAGAAATTGTGATATATAATTAATCAAATATTTGTTATTCTCATTGATCTTTATAATGTATCTTTATTTTATGCTTTCCTTTTAGTTAATCTCATTATAGGATTAAGAATGTTTCTATATTGTTGAGTTGCTGGAATGCTGTAAAACTGTCACTGTGGAGATTTACTACCTATTCTGTTTGATGTGTCCGGAACGAGATTATCACGTACAAGATAATTGTGTTGCATTGAAGAAGAGGCAATCACAATACACATTCTCAAAGTACTGTCTTTGCATCTCCTGAGGTTACAGTTGTTTGTTGTCTCTGGGGTCATAAAGTTCAGTTCCTCAGACTTTGGGTTTGTATGTAAACGACCCATTCTTCCTATCAGGCTGGATGTTGCCCTGGCCATCCGAGGTGACAGACTCGTTGCTTCAAAGATAAAAGAAACACAGATCCCTAACACTTAGTTAGGAAATAAGAACTGGCACTGTAGCTGTATGATGAATTCTTTTCCCCTCTCATTAAAACTACAGTACCTTGTGATTAGGGATCCTGAAAACAATAAAATGAGAGGAGCGGACAAATGTGTTTCAGAGCGGTAGGAGATTGTAACTGGAGCACATCTCTGTCTGTTCTCCTTGCGAGTAGCAAGAATACTGACTCTTATGTCTTTTCTGTCTTTGTTAAAGTATGTTCAACAGGTGTTTAACCCTAACAATCATCTATCATGCAAAAAAAAACAGATAAAAGCTGCTGTGAAATCCAGTTTCCAACACTAATGACCAAGGTGAAGTTATATCTCACAATAAATGTGTTGAAAAGTGATTAGTGCTGTTATTACCTCTTGGTAGGATTACTGTAATGCCTTGTATGCTGCATTAAATCAATCATCTCTGTGTTGCCAAAATGCAGCACCTGGACTTTTAACAGGTAATAGAAACATGAAAATCCAGTTCTGGCTTCCTGTTGGTTTTAGGATTCATTTCAAGATTTTATTGTTTACTTTTAAAGTGATAAAAGTCCCATCATGCCTCTGTGATTTCTTCAACATACACATTGTACTGAGTCATTTGATCAGCCAATCAGAACCAGATAGGTCTAAGTTGATCAGAAAACTGGTTCCTCCAGCATTGAGAACGTTTTACCTCAGAGTTTCCAGGTTGCAGTTTGGACTCTTCAGTCCAGCAGAGAGACGCTCCAGTCCTGAATCCAGCAGGTCATTGTTACTCAGGTCCAGTTCTGTGAGTCTGGAGGACTGGGAGCTGAGAACTGAGGACAGAGCTGCACAGCTTCTCCCTGTGATACGACAGCCACTCAGTCTGAGGAGACAGGAAAAGTTGATGTTGAACAATTCATCAAAAATTGTTTCTCTCCTTCCAGTCAACATGGGACTGTCTTATTGCAAACATATTTACGTTTACTTTTCATGTGAACTGATACATTACAAAAAGAAAACCTTAAACAACATGACTCAATATTTAGCTCATTCTTATTAGATTTCTCTCGTTCAACAATAAATTCAGTAATAATGTGTCCTTACAGAGCTTTGTTGGAGGCTTTAACCACTGGCATCAGCCCCAGAAGTGGTTCCTCTGTAACAGAGTATTTCTTCAGATCAAACTCATCCAGATCTTTTCCTGATGACACCAAGATGAACCCCAGAGCTGACCACTGAGCAGGAGACAGTTTGTCTGTGGAGAGGACTTCCTGAACTCAGAGACTGTTGGATCTCCTCCACTAGAGAACGATCATTCAGTTCATTCAGACAGTGGAACAGATTGATGCTTTTCTCTGAAGAAACATTTTCACTGATCTTTTTCTTGATATACTGAACTATTTCATGATTGGACTGAGAGCTACTTCCTGTCTGTCCCAGCAGACCTTGCAGGAGTCTCTGATTGGTCTGCAGTGAGAGTCCCAGGAGGAAACGGAGGAACAAGTCCAGGTGTCCATTTGGACTCTGTAAGGCCTGGTCGACAGCTGTCTGATGGAGAGATTTTGGTTCAAAAGACTCTTCTTTTTCAAATGAAGAAATCACGTTAGACGATGTTCCAGGCACGTCCCACCGGTTGGCTCTTACCCAGGACCCTCTGAAGGGACTATGTTTCTCAGTTGGAATCCCCAGCTCTTCTTCTGAGGAATCCAGCTCTTCTAGGAATTTAGATGCTTTTTTTTGTTCCATCAGGTTGACCCCAGACTTAATGAAGGTCAGGTGAACATGAAGAGCAGCCAGGAACTCCTGAACACTCAGATGGATGAAGCAGAACACCTTGTCCTGGTACAGACCTCTCTCCTCTCTAAAGATCTGTGTGAACACTCCTGAGTACACTGAGGCTGCTCTGATATCGATGCCACACTCTGTCAGGTCTGATTCATAGAAGATCAGGTTTCCTTTCTGCAGCTGATCAAAAGCCAGTTTTCCCAGAGACTCAATCATCTTCCTGCTCTCTGGACTCCAGTGAGGATCAGTTTCAGCTCCTCCATCATACTTGACTGTCTTCACTTTGGTCTGAACCACCAGGAAGTGGATGTACATCTCAGTCAGGGTTCTGGGCAGCTCTCCTCCCTCTCTGGCCTCCATCACATCCTCCAGAACTGTAGCAGTGATCCAGCAGAAGACTGGGATGTGGCACATGATGTGGAGGCTTCGTGATGTCTTCATGTGGGAGATGATCCTGCTGGCCTCTTTCTTCTCTCTGAATCTCTTCCTGAAGTACTCCTTCTGGGGGTCAGTGAACCCTCTGACCTCTGTCACCATGCCAACACACTGAGCAGGGATCTGATTGGCTGCTGCAGGTCGTGTGGTTATCCAGAGGAGAGCAGAGGGAAGCAGTTTCCCCCTGATGAGGTTTGTCAGCAGAACATCCACTGAGCTGGACTCTGTAGCATCAGTCAGGATCTCCTTGTTGTGGAAGTCCAGTGGAAGTCGACTCTCATCCAAGCCATCAAAGATGAACAGAACCTGGAAGTGTTCAAAGCTGCAGATTTCTTTGGTTTCATTAAAGAAGTGATGAATCAGTTCCACCAAGCTGAACTTTTCTCTTTCAGCAGATTCAGCTCTCTGAATGTGAATGGAAATATGAACTGGATGTTCTGGTGGGCTTTGCCTTCAGCCCAGTCCAGAGTGAACTTCTGTGTTAAGACTGTTTTCCCAATGCCAGCCACTCCCTTTGTCATCACTGTTCTGATTGGTTGATCTCTTCCAGGTGGGACTTTAAAGATGTCTTCTTGTCTGATTGTTGTTTCTGGTCTGTGTTGTTTCCTGGATGCTGTTTCAATCTGTCTGACCTCATGTTCATCATTGACCTCTCCAGTCCCTCCCTCTGTGATGAAGAGCTCTGTGTAGATCTGGTTCAGAAGGGTTGGACTTCCTGCTTTACTGATTCCCTCAAACACACACTGGAACTTCTTCTTCAGACCAGATTGAAGTTCATGTTGACCAACTGCAGGAAACTGATCTAAATGAACACAAAAAGTAAAATCAGGAAGGAAAGAAAATCACCTTCTGCAGATTGATTGTGATTCATAAACTTCAGTTAATGTGTGATTTATCCGTCAGGTTAAATCTTTGTAGAAATTCTCTTACTGGTCTGCAGACGGTCAGCCAGCTCCTCCTGCTTCATCCTCCTCAGGAAGTTCAATATGATCTTCATCACTGCCTCTCTGCTGCTCATCCTCTGCTCTTCATCCTCACCTTCCAACTCCTCATCATCATCTCTCTGACTCTCTGCACATTCTGGATCATCTGGACTCAGAACCTTCTGGATCTTCTTCAGCTCTTTCTTCAGAAATGTGACAATGTTGTTCTCCAGCAGCTGGAACAGAATAATATATGAAGGACACATCAGACTGAAATCATGGAGCCAAACATCAGATCCATGTTGGACAGACAGACAGATCACTAGACTATAAAACGCAGGAAGGAGACGACTGTGAACAGAACCCATGGAGATTCTAGCTATTAAGGGATTGAACACCTAATAGTTTATCCTGCTCTCTCATCTCTACTGATAACTTTGTCTGTTAGGTATTATAAAGTCACAGGTTTTATAGTTATACTTACATTATCAGCATCATAACTGTGTTCATTCAAACCTAATCCAGATATGATGGATTAGGTTTGGGAGGATTTTCTTACTTTTATTTTTACCTTATTTTTCTTCTCTTCCAAGTTGAACCAGGTCAAAATGCTTCCTGCCAACCCCAAGGCACATTGACACTATTATACAACAACTTCAGTCTATTGAAATGAAGATCCAATGGCTGGAGGTGAACTTTGACATCAACACTACCTATGGAAATGAGACAACTCTAACTCAAATCAACAGAAATAGTTTTGGAAAAAGTAGTTTTTTTCAACCGATGCCCTGCACCAAACAGCTCACCCTGGAACGCTCTGGGTGCCACGCCCAAAACAACTCTCACACTGCGGATCCCATGAGACGACTAACAGGGAGAACCCCACACCTGGACGAATCAACGTGGCTGGCTCTGAGCCGAAACTCCCCTTCAGCTTCAACACCTGCTCCGCCAAAGAAAAATATGAAGCAGCTGCAACCAAAACGCCTCCATCGACCCTGCTGACTCCGTTCCCAAGGTCAAAGCAACCAGCAAGAGCCTCAAAACATTCTGACTCTGTGGGAATCCCAGTGAAAAACAGATTTTCTTCACTTCAAACATCAACAGTGAGGCAAGACCAACACATCCATCCCCCAAAGATCCGAAGGACAAAGCAACCACCAGGAAAATGAAAGGTATCCCAAAAGTTCTTATAGTTGGAGATGAGGATGGAATCAGCCACATTTGCAATGCCAAGAAGACGAGAGTAATTTCTTTTCCTCGTGACACCGTCTCTGATTTAACCAACAAACTGCTCTCTGTAACCACTGATCAGCCAATATTGAGATGTTAGTTCTGCATGTTGAATCCAAAGATCTGGCAAAGTGGAAAGTTACAATAAAGTCACATCTGCTGGTTATATTGCTGTGTTTATAATAAGTTCCTGTATAGCCCCATCAAAATAAAGCTATTTGGGTTAAATGTACCAGGCTGGAAGTTGTTTTCTACAGCTGCATCAGAACCAGACTGTCTCACTTTATTTTGGAGCCTTTATCCTTAGTATAAAAACTCATGTGTTGTCTCTGCCTGGCGGAGCTTTTCACCCAGACCTGCTTCATTATTGATTGTCCTACAAACTCTCTGTGTTGGGCTCAATATATGAATAAACCTGATTGAGAGATTTCACCTGACAGTGCTTGGTAAAATTGTTTTTTCCACAACAATCTGAGATTCTGAAAAATGACTTAATCACTCTCTTGAACACTATGGAAACATTTAAAATGAAGTTATTTCTCAGTGGTCCAATTCCACCACCTCAGTGGGGAAATGAAAAACACTCCAGGCTGAAATGATAAATGGCTGATTAAAAGATGCTCTGCCAACTCAGTGAATTATCTACTGGCAGAGCTTTCACCTTTTTGGAAGAGGCAATCTTAATAAACATGGGATAAAGCTACTCACTGAAAACCTTTTTCATTTTATCAACAAGGACAACAATGTGATCATCACTTCAGAAGAACAGGCTCAAGATGTCTGCAGATCAGGATCAAAATATTACAAAACAAGCTGATATAACATCGACTGGCGATGGAACGACTGGTTCCCTTCCTCCCTCTCTGATCCTCCAACTCATTCACAGGATTCACAAGATACTTATGAAGAAACGTCTTCTGGACTAGAGTTCCTCAGAGTTACAGATGGACTGAATCAACAGGTTCGCCTCGGCATGTTTCTCCTTAGCGTTCAGTAGCAGACCTCACTTTATTTCAGAGGATCCATCACTCTGTGTTTCTGAGGTCTGAGGCCGGGGACCAGATATTATCTTTACACGTCTTCCTCCAGAATGTGTCTGGCAATGCAGAACAGATGCAGGGCCGGCCCAAACCATCAGGGCCTTAGTGGAGTTGAGTTTTTTTTTTTAGTAATGCTTTCTATGTCAATAGAATATCAAAAAACACACAATTTTACTATGAAGTGATTTGTGAAAACTGGTATGTTGTAATGAGATCTTTCCAGATCCAAAGAGATCATAAAGGCCTGAGAGACTGAAGGATTTACTGAAATGTATATTATGTTGATGTATTAATGATTATAAAGTGAGTAAATTCTGAAATTGATTATTGAAAACGAAACAACACAACTGAATAATGAATCACAAGTTGAATGTACTAAAAGCTGATTTTATAATGATTATTAAAACTAAAGAGTATTAAAAGCAGTAATGGTTGAGCAAATATATTAAAAGATGATCGTGTTGATGATTTATGGTAATCATATGGCATATAAAAGTGTTGACATTATGAATGTTTTTGTGCTCTCATTTGTTGTTGTTTGTTTTTTTTTCCCCTCATTATTGAATTATTGTGTGTCACATCACGTGACCTGTCTAATTGAACACACTCGTGTACAATAAAAGGGTGTGTCCTCCAAACAAAGAGAGAACAACACGAAGCCAAAACGGTGCGAGTTTCTTCATGTCACGTTGAACGCTGTGCCGAAAACTGATTCTGCTAACAGGTTATGGGCCCAGAATCAATGAAGAAACAGGTGAATGCCTCGACAGACCGTGAACACCTGCTGTGTAAGTAAACAAGGAAAATGAACAGAAAAGAAAAAGACACGACACATAGCCGCTGGTCAAGACTTCTCTTTGATGGAGATGAGAAAAATTATGAACTATGGGAAACAAAGTTTTTAGGACATCTTCGACTGCAAGGGTTGAAACAAGACAATTTTGACAAGTCCCTCCGCTGATGACGATGAAGAGGAAGCCGCGAAGAAAAATGCTGAAGCTTATGCCGAGCTCGTTCAGTTTTTGGATGACAAGAGTCTATCACTTATCATGCATGACGCGGCAGACGACAGACGTGCGGCACTTGGAATCCTGCGGGCCCATTACGCCGGCAAAGGAAAGCCCAGAGTGATTAACTTGTACACTGAACTGACTTCGCTGCAGAAATCACCCAGTGAATCGGTTACGGAGTACATCATCAGAGCTGAGACCGCGATCACCGCTTTAAGGAATGCAGGTGAGGTGCTGAGCGATGGACTTCTGATCGCCATGATCCTGAAAGGACTTCCAGGGACATTTAAGCCATTTGCTGTTTACATTACGCAAAGCAAAGATGGTGATAAATTGACTTTTGCAGAGTTTAAGACTAAACTCAGAAGTTTGAAGACATGAGAATATGCGTGCTACAGTAGTATCTGAAGACAATGTGATGAAAGCTAAAGCAAATTCTGGCACGAATTGCGCACCAAGAGGCGCAAATGATCCTGGAGCAGGAAGTTCTGAGATCGTGTGTTTTAAATGTGGGATGAAAGGCCACATCAGCAGAACATGCCAGAGGAAGCAATGGTGCAGTTACTGTAAGAATAACAGTCACAGCAACGCAACCTGCAGACGGAGAAAACAACGGGACAACGCACGGAAAGTAGCCGAAGAGACGGGCGGCGACAGAGCGTTTGCTTTCCGGGTGAGCGACGCTGACACGCGACATCAGGAGGAGAGGTCTGATGGTGGACGCTGGTGCAACATCGCATATAATCACCGACATCGGGAAGTTTCGGAAGCTTGATGAAAGTTTCCAGGCCGAGACGCACTGCGTGGAATTGGCAGATGGATCCAGGTGTTTTGGGGTTGCTAAGCAACGAGGAGACGCGGAAGTGTGTTTGATCGACAACAGAGGTCGACATCTTAAAACGGTGCTGAGGAACGCATTGTACATCCCTTCATCCGCAGGACATCTTCTCAGTGAAAGCTGCAACATCCAGCGGAGCAACGGTGATCTTCAAAGAAGGAAAGAACGTTCTTCTCAGAGACGATACCAAGTTCCCCATTCACGTATGTAACAAATTGTATTATTTGCAAACGACGGACAAAGAATGTGGTGATCAGTGTAAAAAATGTTATGACTTACAAGGTTGGTATGAGATTCTTGGACATTGCAATTACAGAGATGTACTGAAGCTAGAAAATGTTGTTCATGGTATGGAAATTAAAGGGAGAGGTGAACCAATGCCATATTGTGAAGTTTGCACAAAAGGAAAATTTGTTCAAACTAGGAACATGGAGCCAGATGCAAGAGCTAAAGAACCACTAGCAATGGTCCACACAGATTTAGCAGGACCTATAGATCCAATGTCAAAAGATGGTCACAGATATGCATTATCCTTCACGGATGATTATTCCAGTGCAGTTTTTGTATATTTTTTGAAAAACAAGAGTGATACAGTACAAGCTACTGAAAAGTTTATTGCTGACATGACCCCACATGGAAAGATTAAATGTATGAGGTCAGATAATGGTACAGAATTCACAGGAAAAGAGTATCAGGCATTACTGAGCAGAAATAGTATCAGACACTAGACCTCCGCACCATATTCTCCAAATCAAAATGGTACGGCAGAACGAAACTGGAGAACTTTATTTGACATGGCTAGATGTATGTTAATCGATGGTGAGTTACCAAAAATGTTATGGCCATATGCAGTCCAGACAGCTGCTGTAGTGCGAAACAGATGTTTTAATAATCGCACAAAACAAACACCTTACTTCATGTTGACAGGCAGACAGCCTAACATTTCTAGGATGCACAAGTTTGGATGTGTTTGTTACACTTACAAACGAGAGAAAGGAAAGCTGGATTCAAGGTGTGAAAAAGGCATTTTTATAGGGTATGACAAGAATAGCCCAGCTTATATGGTCTACTATCCAAACAGCAGGAAAATCCAGAAACACAGGCTTGTGGAAATTGTATCCAGAGAGAAAAATGAGACGGATGTAACTTTGGATGATGATGATATGATTAGAATTAGTCCCAAAGCAACCAAAACTTCAGATGCTGTTCCAGTAAATCAGGACCTGAGCATAGAAAAAGAACCAATGGCGAGTACCAGTCACACAACAAAACATGAAGAACCTGAGAGGCGATACCCTGTCAGAGAAAGAAAGAAACCAGATTATTTAGATGACTATGTATGTAGCATTGATGATGAAGAGCAAATAGCTAACATTGATTATTGTTACAGACTGATAAGTGGAGTACCTCAAACCTACAAAGAAGCTGTAACGTCTGTGAATGCAAAAGAGTGGGTTACAGCAATGGATGTGGAAATGCAGTCATTACAGGACAATGTTACTTTTTCCCTGACCAACTTACCTGAGGGTAAAGCTGTAGTGGGGGGTAAATGGGTGTATACAATCAAAAAGAATAATGATGGATCAGACAAATACAAGGCTAGATATGTTGCTAAAGGATTCAGTCAAAAGAAAGGTGTGAACTATGAAGAAACCTTTTCACCAACTGCTAGCATGACGAGCATCAGAGTGTTGATGCAAAAGGTAGCACAGGAGAACATGTTTGTTCACCAGATAGATGTAAAGACAGCATATTTACATGCTCCAATCGAATATGAACTTTATATTGAACAACCAGAGGGCTACAAGAAGGAATCTCAAGAAAATGAAAGACTGGTGTATAAACTGCAAAAATCTCTTTATGGACTCAACAGTCGGGCAGAAACTGGAACAAAATGTTGCATGACTACCTATGTGAAATCAAGTTTGTTCAAAACCCTGCTGATAATTGTGTTTACACAAAGATTAATGATACTGAAACCGTGCATATCATTATATGGGTCGATGATTTGATTATTGCTGCCAGTAATACGAATATCCTTAAAGATGTAAAAGAGAAACTTGCATCCAAATTTAAGATGAAGGACTTAGGAAAGTTTGACACATTTTCTTGGCATTGACTTTGAAAAAGAGGCTGACAGTGTTAAAATGTCACAGTCGAAGTATGTGAAGAAAATACTGGAAAAGTTCAACATGCAGAACTGTAAGCCACGAACTACTCCTTGTGAGCAGAAACTTTATGATGATAATGCTGAAGTAATGAGTGATGTCAGAAAATACAGGGAGGCAGTAGGAAGCTTAATCTATTTGTCAACATGTACAAGACCAGATTTAAGCTATGTAGTAAGTAAACTGACACAGTACTTTGCAAACCCAACCACAGAGCAGTGGAATACTGTAAAGCATGTTTTTAGGTATCTAAGAGGCACACAAGATAAAGAACTATGTTTAAAAGGGGTGCCTGTGATAACCTTATATATGCATACAGTGATGCTGATTGGGCAGGTGATGTATCCGATCGAAGGAGTACAACAGGTTACTGTATGAGTCTAAATAAAGATGGTCCGTTAGTCTCATGGAAGACCAAAGACAGCCTACAGTAGCTCTATCTACATGTGAAGCAGAGTACATGGCACTAGCTGCTACTGTACAGGAATGCTTATACTTGAAACAACTGTTGTTCAACATGGATGGTCTGGATTATTTAGCTAAGATTTATGAAGACAATCAGGGTACCATATCCTTAGCCAAAAATCCTGTGAATAGACAAAGATGTAAACATATTGATATTAAATATCATTTTGTCAGAACAGTTGTAAATGAAGGAAAAGTGTTTCTAGAGTACTGTCCAACTAATGAAATGGTTGCAGATGTACTAACTAAACCAGCAACAAAGATTAAGTTGAGGAAGTATGAAATGTTTATGTTTGGCGAATTATGAATGTATTTTGGTTGAAATATTAAGAGTCAGAGGAAGCTACCCAAATGTGAACAAGTGGGGGTGTTGACATTATGAATGTTTTTGTGCTCTCATTTGTTGTTATTGTTTTTTTCCCCTCATTATTGAATTATTGTGTGTCACATCACGTGACCTGTCTAATTGAACACACTGGTGTACAATAAAAGGGTGTGTCCTCCAAACAAAGGGAGAACAACATGAAAGCCAAAATGCGAGTTTCTTGATGTCACGCTGAACGTTGTACCGAAAACTGATTTTGCTAACAAAAAGACTGAAATCGTACAATATGAGGATAGAGACTGTCTGTGGTACAGAGACATGCCTTGGTCTGACTGCCAAATAAGGAAATCCGGAACTAAACCAGTAGTTAACAAACACATGAAGCAGAAGCGCACAGGGCGTTGACAGAATACAGAAAGGCATGGGACCTTCCATGAGGTAATCAAATGCTTGACAAGTCATGAACACCGTCGCCCAAAACACAACACTGGGAGAGAGGATGTAAAAACCCGAAGGAGAAGAGAGTTCTTGCTCTTCGTCCTGCTGTGTCAAACCGACTGCAGCAGACCAGAAGACCAGCAGAGCCGCGCTCCAAAGCCAGAGGGAACTCAAGTCTTCACACCGCAGAAACCAAACCAATCTTAGATCTACAGCAGGATTCAAACTCCACTCGTTCATTTTTAGCATACAGGAAAAGCTCCAAGCCCCAAATTCACAGAAGTAAACTGACCAACAACATTTAGGCTCTGAGTGCAGGACTCACACAGACTCACTACGTACAAAACATTTTGACATCATAGATTTTTTTTTGTCCTAAATGTTAATAGTAGAGAGGGTTGGATTATAAAATTGGGCCTGATGTATTTTTATTTCATCCCAACACCATTAGAAAGAAAACATTGTCACAGTTCAATAAACTGGATCAGAGTCTGAGCATTTTTCCAGGTGTCAGACCGGCTGCTGATCCCGACCCGACCCGAAGCTGCTGCATGTGTGTCAACCTTTGGGTGGCGGTTCTGATCTGGAGCCTTAGATTTGGTCCAGATCTCAGAGCTGCAGGTTTTATCTCTGTCAGCATAGAAACACAGAAAGACGTCAGTCACAGATTGTCAGAGCTGTGTGCTGCCTGTGTGAATGTCTAGAGGGACCAGCGGACGGCCGGGACAGGGCCGTAAAGTGGGGGCCAATGGCCCTCTAGCCCCTCTGTTCCAGTGCCTATTGAGGCACAAACAGTTTCAACATTGATTGATTAAATGTTTTCTGTGAAAGAACGTTTTGTGACAGTTTGTCCAAGCAGGTCAAAGAATAAAGAACCTTCAAAGATAACAGCAAAGTGATCAGACAGGGCGACATCAGTTTACAGACATTGGAAATAGTCACACCCTTACTGATAACCAGGTCCAGTGTGTCTAGAGTCACAGATCTAGAGTCACATATTTAGAGTCATTTATTTAGAGTCATAGATCTAGAGTCACAGCTCTAGAGTCATATATCTAGAGTCACAGATCTAGAGTCATATATCTAGAGTCACAGATCTAGAGTCATATATCTAGAGTCACAGATCTAGTCACAGATCTAGAGTCATATATCTAGAGTCACAGATTTAGAGTCACAGCTCTAGAGTCATATATCTAGAGTCACAGATCTAGAGTCATATATCTAGAGTCACAGATCTAGTCACAGATCTAGAGTCATATATCTAGAGTCACAGATTTAGAGTCACAGATCTAAAGTCACAGATCTAGAGTCATAGATCTAGAGTCAATGCACAGCTTCAGTTTATTACAACTACAACCAGTGATCAGTCTGAAAACCTGGGAATAGTGATGACCTCTGACCTCTGACCTGAACCTTCAGAGCCACATAAAGACAGTCATAAAGTCGGGCTTCTATCACCTGAAGAACATCTAGAGGTCTGATGTCTCAGTGAGATCTAGAGAAACTCATCGTTTATCTTCAGTGGCATCGATTCCTGCTGCAGCTGATCCAGAAGCTGCTGCTGCTGCTGCTGGAGACTTTAAATATGATGTTAGTTTATAAATCAGACCACTCAGGTTCTGGTTCTGCTCTGCATCAGAACCAGAACCAAATGAGGAGAAGCAGCGTTCAGCTTCAGCACCACAAATCTGGAACAAACTTCCAGAAAACTGTAAAACAGCCGAAACCCTGAGATCCTTAGAATCCAGACTAAAATCCAGCTGGTTAGTTTCATTTGAAATATAATCATGAATTTAACGATAACTCTTGACTTCATGATTTGATTGTTGATTCTATGTTGCATAACTCTGAGTTTTTGTGTTTATGATGCAAAGCTCTTTGAAATGCTTTGCTGCTAAAATGTGACTGATTCATGTACAAACCATAAATATGAAGTCCAGCTGAGTTTGATGCTGCTGGGCAGACGGACCACTGGAGCCTCTGAGTTCTGCTGGTCCCGGTCCAATCTGGACCTGGAACAATCAGGAAATATTGATACAGCAGTTTTCATTGATCAAATCACCAAGAGCTTCACAGTGAACATCATTTAAACATGAAACAGATCAGTGCTTGAACACAATGCCAAAAGTTGAAAAGACGACAAAGTAAAAACCAGTAACACCAGAATCTCCCAGTAGACAAAACATGTTGGAATAAAAACACTTCAGACTGACTCCGCCTCCAGGTTACAGCAGGTAGAAACATCTCACCTCTCTGATGGTGGAAGATCAGCAGATTGAAAGTTAACGACGAAATCCTTTGACCGGTCGCTCTTAAAGGACACACAGCGGGGCTCTGGTCCTGGTGCTGGTTCTGGTCCTGGTCCTGGTCCTGGTTCTGGTTCTGGTCCTGGTTCTGGTCCTGATTCTGGTCCTGGTCCTGGTTCTGATTTGAGTCTCTGAAGGATCCTGACAGAAACATGATGATTAAAACCCATTCTGTCAGGTTCTGTTTACACACCAGCCCATTTCCATCCTGGACCCATCTGGACCAGAACCGGGCTGAAGTTGGTGATTTTGTCCTGTGGGTCCTGCTGGAACCCAGCTCTAACCACAGGCTGCTGTCACTCTGCTGCTTCTGCAACATGGACCTGCTGGCTGGAAGAAACACTGATACCAGGCTGAGCTGCTCTGTTCAGGCTGGATGATGCAGCAAAGAGGAGCAGCAGCTTCATCACCGTTTGGGCCTGATGCAGTTTGAACGCTGTGTGAAAAGGACACTGAGAGATGGTGACTCACCTCTGACCTTTGCTCTGGCTCTCATCTTCCCCACACAGAGAGGTTTTAGAGGGAGGGTCTCCCTCCTCTCTGTCCTCACACTGATCCATGCTGCTGAATCCACTGCAGCTCTTTCTACCTTCACCTGCAGAGGAAACACATCATTCATCAGCTCTGATCGTCTTTACATCATTAGAGCTGGAAAAAGATCAGCTGCTGCTCTGATTGGCTCTTCTTCTCTGCTTCATGTCAGTTGAACGCAGTCAGACAGCAGAGAGGCAGAGGAAGCTGCATCAGCTGCTGCACTTCTACTGTCAGGGCCACTAGAGGGAGACACGGAGCTACATTTACATTCACTGATCTGATTGTTAAATAGTTTATCACATATAGACTATTTAATCATCTAAAATAAACCACATTATAACATTTATTTTATTTTTGAAAGTACTGACAGGAAGCAGCAGGAAGCTGATGTCTCTGGCTTTAACGTCAGAAACCAGAGTTTGATTCCAGGAAAAGAAAACATGATGCAGTTTGTTCAAGAAGAAAATAAAGAATCATCAGCTGAGCATCATGATTCCAGTTCATCAATAATCTAATAATCCTGTAGATTAATCCTTGAGTTTAATCTCAAAAAGATTAAACTTTGAGAAATGAACATTTTCTCCAAACATCAAAAAAAGCAACAAACTTCCTGGATTCAAAGTTTAAGCAGGAAACAAATCAAATTTACATTTTGTTCAGACGGTCCAAAGACCTGAACAGACCGAGACCCAACAGAACCACAGAATAACGGATCGGAACCACACCGGAAGGGTTGGTTCAACTTTTTATTCTGGAGAATAAAAACAAATCAACTCCCTAAACTCCCTAAACTCCCTGAACTCCCTGAACTCCCTAAACTCCCTAAACTCCCTGAACTCCAGCCCCACAGCAGCGCAGATCAACATTTCTACCAACATTTCTTTTACAAATTCAACCAAAGTCAACAACAACAAAAAATTCTCCTCACAAAAATCATAAACTAAAAACAAGATGAGAAAAACGCCACCTGGTGGCCACAACAACACAATACAGAGCAAAAACAAATCAACTTCCTCTTCCTGAACTCCAGCCCTAAATGTGAAAATAAAAATAAAATTCAACTGAGTTGGACTAGCCAAAATACAAAAAGGAAATTATAATAAACTGTTTATAAAAACTCACAATGACGGTCAAAATGCTAACAAACACTAATAAACAACGTATGGTAGAGATGATGCAACATCATTTGGATGTTGTTCATATTGGATGATGATGTAGTATATTGAAAACAACCATATATCTCAGCAGTGACCTTTAACCTGACTTACCTGCAGCAGCGCGAAACAATCTGAGAGAAAAGAACACGGAGAATCCACGAGGGCCAAGAACACCTCCCTGCTGCACCTCGCTACAGCAAACAGGAAGTGGCGGGACGGAGAACCGTTAGTCTCATACCTCCGGAAGAAGGCGGGGGGGTTTCCTGTTTTATCACTGCTGATGTTACGTGACGTGCCGAGGCTTCGAAGCGTGTCGAGTAATGGAGGGGACGTTTCCGTAAAGCGCGTAGATGAGAGAAACAAGCAGGAAACAAAACAAACTTACAGTTTGTTCAGACGGTCCAAACAGACTGAGACCCAACAGAACCGCAGCGGAACCGGTCTTGTGCGAAATTCGGTTCCCCTGTGAAAATCTGTTCCCACTGCGTCGGGAGCGCGCATTACAGCCAGAGAGGCCAAAGAGGCGGATCTGATCATTTTCACGTCTCTTCTGATCGATTTCTCGGTAAAAACAACTAATATAACCATGTCAATGTTGTAACACTCAGTTTAATTGGTTTCACGCTTCGAAGCCTCGGCACGAAGCGTGTCGAGGAGCCACACAGGAAGGGTTTGAAACAAAAGTAAATGTGAGCAGTGGCGGAGCTAGACTTTTTTCCAAGGGGGGGCCAAAGGGTGAGCAAGGCTTTATCAGAGGGTCCATATACAAATGGACCGTTCCATGGAACGAAGGAAAAATATTTGTTTCCTTTCGTTCAAAATTAATTAATATAACTAGTTAGGTTATAATTCAAAGCTTTCATATGACATAGCCTACTTATATTTCAGTCATTATAAAACTTAATGGTTTTTCACATATTCTTACACATTTCAAGCAAGAACTGGGAGATATAAAACATTAGATGGCAGCATATCACTAAAACATATGTTAGAATCTGTCTAAAACACGATCTATCAGCACTAGCATGGCTAATATAATAAACGAGGCACTACGCAGCGGTACACAACCATTTTTTTTATCTTTTTAAAAATGTATGACAAGTGCCCCTCTCATTAGGAAGGTAACAGCGGTTACAGCTGAGCGGTAAAATGGAAATACCTGCAGAACTCCTGACGGTGTAACTCTAAGCCATGGATGTGTTTTGGATCAAGCAGGAACTACATGTCAGTTTAACCAATGAACAGCGTCCGGCATCGAGCTGCCTTCAGGGACAGTCGGAAATCTTTGCTGATCTCATAAGTATTATATTTTAAAATGACCATTTCCAGTGGGGTGGCACTAGGGGGCCAGGGCTCTGTTGGGGGTGGCAAGTGCCACCCCGGCCACCCCTCTGGCTCCGCCACTGAATGTGAGGACTGTTATATAAATTATTTCCAGAAACAAATCAAAGAAAACAAACTTCATGCCGGACAAAAACCTCCGTCGCCTCTGGGTGGATCCGTCCCGAGAGGAAGGTTCTCTTTCCTTCCAGAACCTGTACTTCAAAACTTCATACACGCCACTCATCAGTCTCAGGGGCCACCAGCCCAGATAAAACACCTGGGCTGGTGGCCCCTGCACACACACACACACACACCACACACACACACACACCACACACCACACACACCAGCAGGGATCTGTCAAAGGTGCCAAAATAAAAACAACAAACATTCAGGAGATGGAAGTAAATGTGAGCCTGTAACGCTATGCAGTGAAATCAGATGGAGTTTGATGAAGTCTTCATGAGAAGGAGAGACATGATTATCATAATAATAATAATTCTAATAATTATATTTTTCCAAGAACGTAAAGTGTTTGATATGTTGAACAGATTTCTACATGTTCAGGTTTCATTAAGTTGAGGGAGGAGAAACAAATAACATGTGAGAGGATGTTGAACCATCTCTCATCTGTCCAGGCAGAGAAAATATCATTCTAATGTATAGATGACTGTTGAACTGTGTGAAGGTTAAGAAGACAGGAATATGTGAAAAAATCAGCTTTATATATTCACAACAAGTTTCTATAAATATGAGCAGCTGGTTCAAACTGGACAGAACAAAAACTGATCTGCTTCATGCAAATATTCTGGAGGAAACTTGATACATGAACCGACGTACAAAAAACTCATAAGTTTACCGCACAACTGGCTGTCTGCAGCAGTGTGTGTGTGTGTGTGTGTGTGTGTGTGTGTGTGAGTGTGTGCGTGTGTGTGTGTGTGTGAGTGTGTGCGTGTGTGTGTGTGTGTGTGTGTGTGTACGTGTGTGTGTGTGTGTGAGTGTGTGTGTGTGTGTGTGTGTGTGTGTGAGTGTGTGTGTGTACATGTGTGTGTGTGTGTTTGTCTGTGTGTATGTGGGCGTGTGTGTGTGTTTTTCTCTGTGTGTGTGTGTGTGTGAGTGTGTGTACATGTGTGTGTGTGTGTGTGTACATGTGTGTGTCTGTGTGTGTGTGTGTACATGTGTGTGTGCGTGTGTGTGTGTTTCTGTGTGTGTGTGTGTGTGTGTGAGTGTGTGTTGTGTGTGAGTGTGTGCGTGTGTGTGTGTGTGGGAGTGTGTGTGTACATGTGTGTGTGTTTGCATTGACAGGAACATTCCACTAACATAACCAGCTGATTTCTTTCTTCTATAATTTCTAGAGTCTTTGACTCGTTTCACAGCAACAGTTCATATTCATCCAGTCATCAGGCATAAAAACATGAAATATTCCAGCTATTATTGTCTCTGGGTCTGAACTCCAGGCTCTGGATGGGATTCAAACTAAAAGCATCAATCTTTTTCTGTCCATTCAGAGAGAAGCAGCAGACAGAGAACAAAGATTTGAAACGTCTGCAGCCCGGTTCTGGCCCGGTTCTGGTCCAGAATAAATGAGACCAACAGGCAGAAAGGTCCAGAAAGGCACTTCAGGAGACGATGTCCAGATTATCAGCTGCTTTTCTCAGGAAAACAAGTTTAAAGTGGTTTCAGCCTCTGATCCAGTTTCATCATCATGTTGATGCCTTGGTTCTGGTTCTGGTTCTGGTTCTGGTTCTGGTTCTGGGTGAAATAAAACTGTTTCTGTTTATTAGCATTAGCTAACAGTTAGTCTGCTGACTGAGTACCAGGATCAGGATCAAACTGGTTCTCTTCTTTAAACTGGACCCCAGTTCAGAGTGAAAACGTTTCCAGATTGGAGTTCAGAGGTCAACGGAGCGCAGCACAGATCTGGATCTCTACGGAGGCCTGCAGGGTCATTTTAAAGTGTTTGATGAGGAAACAGATCCACAAGTGAAGTTAGGAGTTTTCTCAGAACCTCAGAGGTTCTGATCCACTGAATTCACCACAGACTTTCCTCCACCTGTAGGAGGCGCTGCAGCGTCCGGTCCGATCCCAGGAGAAGAACATCTGAACGTCAGAGGCACAACGTCCAACCACTGACTGTCCAGCGTCTGTCCAGTCTGTCCAGCGTCCATCCACCGTCCATCCGGCTGATTGTGGGAGAGAAACGCTGAGCTGCTCTGGATCGTCTCTGGTTCTGTTCAGGCTCTTCAGAACTCGACGTTTACAGACATTTCCACACAAATACGCTGAAAAAAACAGAATCTGGTGTGAACAGTTTGGCTGGAATGGAAACAAGTTCAAATAAACCTAAATAAGTTTTATTTAGTTTTATATTTAGAAGTTGGGAGCAGGTTTCTATTTCAAGAAAACTCACAAACTTGTCTCTTATTTTTAAATCCTATTTTCATAATACATTTTATTTCTAATGAAAGTTTGAACTAATTTATGATGGACTTTTATATTTTCTGTTCGTCTTTCAATAATTAAATAAACAGAGAAACTCATTTTTTTGTTTAAATAAAAGAAGCAAAACTGAAGGATCTATTAAAGGTTGTTTATGTTCTTTAAAAATAACTTTAGTTGTTATTAAATAGTTTTATATTAAATTTTATCTAAACAACCAGAATCAGAAAAAAGTTAATATGAAGAAACTTCAACCCAGAAAGTTTATTCTGATTCCTCTAAATCACAAACATTCATTAAACGGATGAGTCCAACAGCGGTACTGCCTGGTTCTGGTCAGGGTTCTGGTTGGTTCTCATTGGTTCTAGTCAGGGTTCTAGTCAGGGTACTGGTCAGGGTTCTGGTCAGGGTTCTGGTCAGGGTTCTGGTCAGGGTTCTGGTCAGGGTTCCGGTTGGTTCTCATTGGTTCCGGTTGGTTCCGGTTGGGTCTCATTGGTTCCGGTTGGTTCTCATTGGTTCCGGTTGGGTCTCATTGGTTCCGGTTAGGGTTCCGGTTGGTTCTGGTCAGGGTTCCGGTTGGTTCCGGTTGGGTCTCATTGGTTCCGGTTGGTTCCTGTTGGGTCTCATTGGTTCCGGTTGGTTCCGGTTGGTTCTCATTGGTTCCGGTTGGGTCTCATTGGTTCCGGTTAGGGTTCCGGTTGGTTCTGGTCAGGGTTCCGGTTGGTTCCGGTTGGGTCTCATTGGTTCCGGTTGGTTCCGGTTGGGTCTCATTGGTTCCGGTTGGTTCCGGTTGGGTCTCATTGGTTCCGGTTGGGTCTCATTGGTTCCGGTCAGGGTTCTGGTTGGTTCTGGTCAGGGGTCCGGTCAGGGTTCTGGTTGGTTCTGGTCAGGGTTCCGGTTGGGTCCGGTTGGGTCTGATCAGTGATGGTCTTACCTGCAGTCGTCTCCTCCGGTGCTGATCACCTGCTGGTCGTCGTGGGAGAATCGGATGTTGGTGACGTGCGGCGCGTGTCCATGGAAACGCTTGTGTTTGGCCTGAAGTCAGAACAGAACCAGAACCAGAACCAGAACCAGAACCAACGTCAAGAAAACAGCCACAGACCTTTACAAGTTTATATTCTTGACAAGTTGTGACCAAGTTTAATAGAAATGTACTTTCTTTCCTTGAAACCTTTCAGTATAAAGGATTGAAATAAGTTTGACTGTAAAGAGTCTTGAGATGGTTTATTGATAATAATCTGCATTAATATTATAAATCTATGTAAAACATCTTGGATGATCTATTTGGGACAACAAAACACTAGTTATTCTCTCCCACTGTCATCATCCTGGTGAACCGAATAAAGTGAGTCTGACATTCAAAACTTTTCCTGCTTGTTAAAAACAGGAATGAATTTCATTTTCTCAGTTTAGTTGAGTTTTTCCTT